AACGTATAGAAAGCCATAACAACAAATTGGCGAGGGCTAAAGACCAACATCTACATAAATCATGTAGGAATATTAATGATAAGAAAACATCGGTTATTAAATCAATCACATAAGCTAGAATAAGAATTATTGATGTATTTACCTATCTTATCGATGAAGTTGGAGGGCTAGAAAATGTCGGATTCTTTATCAGGGATGCATATAACTACATTCAAAAAAAGAAAAAAGCTTAGATTGAGTATGGGGACACTAATTTGTTAATTCAACTATTTAAAGACCGACAAGTTGATGATAACGTATTTGCATGGGACATCTAAACTGATGAATATAATAGATTGTTGAATTTTTTTGGGTTTATGGTATATGGAGAATATATTATGAGTGCTTTGGAGATGTGATAATTTTTTATACTAGCTACAGGCTTCAAAAATATAATTTAGTTCGTGCACCCGTTATTATAGTTAATAATCATTGATGGAATATTCTATTTGGTGTGGTCATTCTATTAGAGGAGATAATTAAGTCATTTTACGTCATTCACAATTCTATTTAAAATATTTATATGAATAATGGGTAATAAATATTGAATAATAATATTCACTAATCATGACCTAGAAATGGCTAGAGTTATAGAAATTGTAATAACTCAGACACGCCTTGGATTGTGCCAATGGAATATTTCTAAGAAAGCTCCATCAAAAGTCTGATGCTTCAATAGTATTACTAAAGTTAGAGCACTACTTTATAAGAGTTTGAGCAAGTGTGAGTCTGAGGAGGAGTTTTAGAAAACTTGGGATGAAATGATCACAAAAGGAGGCCTTTAAAGCCTTGATTGGTTAAAGGAGCTTTATAGAATAAGGAGTAAGTGGTCTATAACATTCAATAACAATTGCTACAGCATGGATATTCTACCAAAACAATGTAATGAGATCACTAATAATGTGTGGGTATATCGAAGCCAATAAGTTATATAGATGATCATTATTTTCTTATGTTAGAGAAGGTGACAATGACTTGGCACCATAATAAGTAGGAAGAATATTTCATATATAGTCAGTCTGAAATAATTCATGTGATGAAAAGCAACATAAAGTCAATCCACAACAACATAAAGTAATACACAGCAGTGCACAATAGTTTACATCTAAATACACTATAATACACACAAATATATAATAGTACATAGTAGTACACAATAATACACAATAATACACATCTAAATACATAATAATACGTAGCTAAATACATAGTAGTACACAACAATATATAATAATACCCAACTAAATATATAATAATACACAGTAATACATAGTAATATATGATAATATAAATAGTAATACATAGCAGTGCATAATAGTGCATAACTAAATACATAATAATACAAAGCAATACATAATAATACACAGTAATAATCAGCTAAATACCCATCAATATAATGCAATACATAACTATACCCAACTAAATGCAAAGCAATACACAACATCACACAATAACACACAGTAGCACACATCAGTACACATTAATACATAGCAATATACAATGAATTTAGCAAAAGGAAAATAACATTTCTCAAAAAATTTAAAAAGAGTAAAAGGTTTTCGAATGAACAATACATAGCTCTTAAAAAATTTTAAAAGATATTTAAATGAATAAATACAACAATGTTTGATTGCCATAAAGCTTATATCATGAAAATGCATAGCAACACACAATGACTTAAGAGATAAAAAAGGCATTTCCCATATATTTCATCAAATACACAGCTCCAAAAATGCTTAAAATAATTTGAAGTAAATAATTACAATAATGTCTCATTTCCAAATAGCTTCTATCATGGCAATATATAGTAATACACAATAATACCTAGCAATAACCAGCAATACCTAATTTCTATAATGCTAAAAATACAATTTTGACATAAATTTTACATAAATCCTAAACCCTAACAACTCTTACTGTGGAGATAAACCCTAAACCCTAAAATGACATAAATTTTACAATTTTTAACTCTAAAGATAAATTTAACCTTAACTCTTTCCTTGAAGAAAAATAAATGAAATGAGAGTGGAAAGGAAGATGATAACAAATTTAAACTCCAACCACCACTTCTGGAGTGCCGAAAGACTGTTAAAAAGTTCAGCACTCAGATGTATTGGTTTCTTAGCTAGAAGACTCGAGCCTTCTGTGAAGAAGAAGAGCTGCTTGAAATGAGAGCGGAGAGCTAGAAGACTCGATGGAAGAATTGATGGTGAAACATTAGAATGCTGTGACTTTTAGTTTGCATAGTTCTTTAAATTTTCACAAACCATGTTATTCACCTCTAGACTAGTTGGTTGGGTACAAGTTGTCGAGCCACAAGTGTTCGTATTTTATTGAAGTCTGAACGTAGAGCTACGCGCGTCTTTAATCCGCACAGAATAATTTCTCCCAATCACATAGGATATATATTAAACAGTATGAACGAGAGCTATGTCATGAGTCTACACAGAATAATTTCTCTCAATCACATAGGATATATAATAAACTTTGTCTCAATGTCCAAGATTCTTTTCTTTTAGTTGTTCAATTCATTTCTATCTGTATTCATATGTATGTTATTCTTGTTGTTTGTAGTGTTATGAATATTTAGAAATAACACATTAGCATGTGTGTTTCTATTCCACCTTTCTTCTTTCTATATTCTGAAATTTCATGAATGCTCTACTCCTAACACATCAAAGGATGGTGAAAGAGTGAGGCCTCCATAGCACTCTATTAAGGGAGAGAAAATTCATCATCTTGAGACAAGTCTTTTTTAATTTTTCAATTATAATGAAATATAAGAATTTATTTCCAATTTTGTCTTATATATATTTTTTTATTGTTTATATTTAATTATTCATATAATAAATCTGCTCATCCAAAAATCTAATGTTGGTTCCACCCCTATTTACTAGAAGATGTTTTAAGGAAAAAAAATTTCCATACACTGCAATTCACAGCTAAATACATAGCAGCACATAACAGCACATAGCATTACATAGCAATATACAATAATACATAGTGACTTTAGAAAGAAAAATAGTGTTTTCAAAATAATTTAAAAAGAGTAAAATGGTTTTCAAATGAACAATACACTACTCTGAAAAAAAACTTTAAAATATATTCAAATAAACAAATATAGCAATGTATGGTTTCCATAAAAGCTTATATCATGAAAATACACAGCAATGGATAGTGAGTTTAGAGAGAAAAAAAGACATTTCTCACATAAATATTCCTTAAATTCACAACTGTAAAAATGCTTAAAAAGTTTTCAAATAATTACAATAATGTCTAGTTTACATAAAGCTTCTATTATGGCAATACACAGCAATACCAAATAATACCCATCAATACCTAGTTTCTATTAAGCTAAAAATAAAATTTTGACATAAATTTTACATAAACCTTCAACCCTAACAACTCTTGTTATGGTGATAAATCATAAAACCTGAAATGATATAATTTTGACTATGGATATAAATCTAACCTAACTCCTGCTCAGAAGAATAGCGAATGAACTAAAAGATAGCGAAAGAAAGACGATAAAATTTTTAAACTCCAAATTTTGATACTTCTAGTTTGTCGGAAGACGGGTGAAAGGTTTGGCATCCTGATGTATTAGTTTCTTAGCTTAAAGACTTGATCCTTCTACGAAGATGAAGAGCTGCCCAAACTGAGAGTGGAGATCTAGAAGACTTAATGCAAGAATCGAAGGTGAAACATCAGAATGTTGGTTTGCAGAGATTTTAAATTTTTATGGACCGGGTTATTTCCCTCTGGGCCATTGGGTGGGGTCGGGTTAGGTCGACGTCGAGCAACTTGTGTTCGCATTTTATTGGAGTCTGGACATAGAGCTACGTCCGGAGTCCGCATAGAACAATTTCTCCCTATCACAGTGGATAGATGATATACTTCATCTAACCATCCAAGATTCTTAACTTTTAGTCGTTCAATTCATTGCTATTTGTATTCATATGTATGTTATTCTTATTGTTTGTAGTTTTATGGAATATTTAGAAATAGCACAACAGCTTGTGTGTTTCTATTCCACCTTTCTTCTTTCTATATTTTGAAATTTCAAGAATGCTCTCTACTCCTAACACTTCAAAGGATGGTCAAAGAGTGAGGCCTCCATAGCACTCTATTAAGGGAGAGAAGGTTCAACATCTTTAGACAAAGCTTGTTTAATTTATCAATTATTATGAAATATAAAAATTGTTATAAATTTTATCTTATATATATTTTTTATTTTTTATATTTATTTATTCATATAATAAATTTGCTCATCCTAAAATTTAAAGCTGATTCCGCCCCTCTTTAGAAGTTGTATTAAGGAAAAAAAAATCCATACAAGCTTTACGAGAATAAACAAATTTTTCTTTGGAGAAGATCAATCTAGCTAGCTCTTCTATGCCATGCCACCTAGGGAGTTCAATCCAACGTAATTCTGAATGCAGCCGACAAAGCCATTAAAAACTTAATGACAATAATTCCAAATGAAAGCCTCACACTTCAACGATGAAAAATAGATAGATTATCCCTTCACTGTCAGCAAATTAAGGTGCAAGTCATTAAGAAGGTCAGATGATTCACACAAAATTAAAGAGGCAAAGGAACAAAACGTATATAGATTACTTATAAAAAATTATAACTAAAATAGAATGATTCTAAACAATAGAAAGAGAGCAGCACCACACCGACTAAAGAGTAGTCTCATATATAGATATCAAGACTGCATGGAAAACTAAAAATTGCAACCAAAATAAAGCTCTAGAATGTTCGAAAATATTTCATCATTTTCAATAAACACAATATCACCAAAGTCTAAACAATGGACGCTCACGTGACTCTCACGTGCTGTACAACCCAACCCCCTTCTATAAGTGGCAGCAAACCTCTCGCTTCTTCCCAGTAGGCTTTACTGTACTAGTAATACAAACACTTCGAGTGAGTTAGAGAGGGAGAGAGACGAAGCCATGGATTCCACCAACAAACTCCCAGCTCTTTTGCTCCTCTTCATCCTTTTCACATCCTCCTTCACCCCACTGTTCGCCGGCGCCACCGTGGACCCAGCCTGCAGTTCCTGCTCGGACCAGCACAAGTCTCACCACCACCCCAAAGACCCCCACCACAAGCCCAATCATCCCAAGCATCCGGGCCATCCCAAACATCCTGGCCATCCCTCCCCCTGCCCGCCCGTCGGCCCGGTGACTCCAACCCCAGTCCCGGTGCCGCCAACACCAACACCAACACCGGTGCCACCTACACCATTGCCGCCGGTTCCGGTGACTCCTACACCGGTGACTCCGACACCGGTGACACCGGCACCGCCAGTAGCACAATGCCCGGTTGATACTTTGAAGCTGGGGGCCTGCGTGGACCTATTGGGCGGGCTGGTGCATATCGGGCTGGGCGACCCTGTTGTGAACCAGTGCTGTCCTTTAATTCATGGACTAGTGGAGCTGGAGGCTGCGGTTTGCCTCTGTACTACCATAAAGCTGAAGCTTCTGAATATCAATATATATCTTCCTCTTGCCCTTCAGCTGCTTCTTACTTGCGGCAAGACTCCTCCGCCGGGTTTTACTTGCACTCTTTGATCAGTTCGCGTTCGAGTGAGTTCCTCTCTCTTGCACTTACGCTTTTTGTTTTATTAAATTTTTTTTTTTAAGAAACAAATTGTTAAGACATTTTCTTAAAATATATATATCAACTATAAGACTTTTTTCTGATTTATTTATTTTCTTATGATTTAATTTATAAAGTAAGTAGTTTTCCTATTTAGAAAATTAATGTTTTTTAACAATTTGATTTTATATTAGATGAAACTAAAAAATTGTATCAGAAATTTCTGATCAAAATATGTTAAAATACAAGAAATATTAGGAAATTGTGTGGATATTTTCTTAAAATCTTGATATATAATATAAAAGATTATTTATGCTATTAAATTTTTCTCAAACTCATTATTTTTTAAGGATGAAATATGATTAAATAATAATTTTTCAAGAATGAAAATTACACTAGGAACTGATAAAATAGAGTAAAATTGAAAATATTTTAATTTTACGAGTTCAAAAATAGAAATACCACTAATTTTAAATATATTAATTAAAAATTTAAAATAAAAAATTAAAGATCTAATTCTTTCAATTTTAAACTTATACTTTATTTATCAACCTTCCAAAAAAATAAAAATTAAAATAATATATTTTACGTACAAAGTCCTCATATATATGTATCCTGTAATTTAAAGGATGAACATTATATAAAAGTTAGTGGTAAATATTGTATATATTTTTGTTGGTAAAAATATATTACATATTTCTCAAAAGATTTTAATACCTTATAATTTTAGACATTTGATTTTTATATTTTATTATTTTATTTTTATCCTACATAAAATATATTGTATTATAATATTTTGATATTGATTTTTCTTTTAAATATACAAACGAATTATGTACTGGCAATGTCCCTAATCGGATATAGGAAGCAAAGAAACTTTTTCTTTCTTACGTTTCGGGTGAAAGACAAATGCTTAAAAAAGAAAGACAACGCGAAAAGTATTACAGTAAGTTACTCAACGAATAGACAAAAGCTAGGCTTCATTTGAGACAATTTTTTTACTGTTTGGCCCTTATTTTCATTAAATTTTTATATTAGGAAAATGCTTTCTATAACAGCTTTTAAAAAAGCTTTTTTTCACAGCAGTTTCACATCCATTTTTATAGAAAGATACAGATGTCCCAAAGAGATCCAAAGGAATATTGTTTTTACTGAAACATAATACATGACTATGTAGGTAATTAAGAATTGATCGAGCAACTTATTGAACGGACAAAGGAAGAGGCAATGGATGAGTTGGTGGGGATATTTACAGTCACGAGTGGTGTCTTGCATTTGTTAATTGTGTGTTGCTAAATTTGGTCATTTTGTTTTTCCTTGTTGTTGTTATTGTTGTTTGTTGTTGGTGTTTGCTGTGTATTTGTATTAGACATAATGGGATTCATTCCAGTGTTGGATCATTGATTAACTAATCAACTGGTTCTTTCCTTTGATTCGCAACTGAAAGAAAGATTTGTTGAAAGTCATCATATTTGTGTTTGTGTTTCTTGGAATCTTTGATTTGTATGCTCTGAATTTAAGTTTAATGCTCATTTTGTGTGAAAATTTGAGTGGATATAGGGTCTATTTGAGATAGCTTTTTGGATGTCTTGTTTTTCAGACGGCAATGATGCACAATTTTGTTTGGCCACTAATTCTTTGATTTGTATGCTGTGAATTTAAGTAAAATGCTCATTTTGTTTGGAAAATTGAATGTATATAGGGTCTACTTGAGATAGTTTTTTGGATGTGTTGTTTTTCATACGACAATCAGAATTTTTTTTTTTTTAAAGAAATGCATAGAGCAATTTTATTAATAAAAGAAAGAAACAAGTTCTAAGTGATAGCTTTCCTATAGCTAACCTATCACTTCCCTCCTTTAATAAAGAAACAAATAGAGGAGAAATGTTATTACAATCTAAACTATTCCGAATGAAATCAGTAGAACGAGCATAGTTAGCACAACAATAGGCTAACTTATTACAATTTTCATTCACAAATTGAAATAAAACTTGGAGCTTATGTCAATTATATCTTTGAAGAATGTTCTTCAAGAATGGATGTATGAGGCGAAAGAGATTATAATTGAAGAGGATAATTATAATATAATCAAGTATGTTCAAAGTATGATGCACGGTGGAGAAGTTAATGATACTTTTTTAAAGCCACAAGATCTTTCCTTTCTTAGAGATTTCAACCAATCAGAATTTTGTTTGGCCACTTATTCTTTGTTGTTTTTTCATTAGTTTTACGAAATTTTTATAGTGAAAAGCTAATTTATACAACCATAGTAACGAAGTTATTTACTCCACAACTTTGCAATTAACTTTATAAATATTATAGCTATCCCAAACAGATCAATATTTCAAATTGATCTTAATTAGCTCAGATTTTAGTTTATTTTATTTATTTTACTCTTAACATATGCCAACATGAGAGTAAAAATCGAGGGAGTACTTATTTGTGTGCTAGAAACCAACAAGAGAGAAAAATCACGTGTAATCCCATGGGCTTAAATATGAATTATACATTTGATGATCATAAATATAATTTGATCAAAGTATGTAAGGCGTTAGTTAGTTTTTTTAAGTAAGAGCTTCATGTAAATAAAAATCAAGCATATTAAAAATTAATTGTCTCAAATTAAAGCTAAGGGTCAAATTAATTTGAAGGCATCAAATCCATCATGAGAATATTCATGCTTCAATGAGAAATTATTTTATTTTTTAAACTAATAAATTATAATAGTAAAAAGTATTGATGTTGCTTGAAATAATATTTTTTTTTAATTATTTTTTTAGAAAATAAACCATCATTGGGCCTACATATGGATCTAAAGCTTGCTATAGCTCAAAAGAATTATAATAAAAAAGAAATAAAAATCCTTGGAGCCGAAAATCTCAACTAATTACAAGGAGCAAAAACCCTAGGAAAATTCAACAGGAGGCAAGAAACCATCACCCAAAAAATAGAGAGAGAGAGAGAACAAATGTAGAGCCAACAACAACAAAAAATCAGCAATCACAGTAGAAACCAACAACAACAATGCATCCACTAGCTAGAAGATAAAATAAAGCCCAATGGTAGAAGAAACTGTTAGGAATGAAGCAAAGATAACATGCACCAAACAATTTGAACATAAGCAAAATAAGAAGTGCAATCACCCAATCCAGATAACAACAGACCGTTATGTTGGTGGAGTTTTTGATAAAGAGGTTTTGAAAAATTTTATCTTGGAAAATTGAGTTTTAAATTTACAGGATCAAAATCGAACATCTCGTTATAAACAATATATTGCCCCTTAAGGAAAAGATATCGTTTGGGTTTCTGCTTGTAAAAGTGGAAAAGAAATTTAGGATATATAGAATTTGTATCAAATATGAAGGGACTAACAAAGTGAAATAATTTAGATTAAATATCTTGTTACATGATTATGAACTATTTTGTATGAAATCAAATGAATTCATATCTAACATGTACACGCGGTTCACTCAAATAGTCACTTATTTGTATGCATTAGGTAGGGAATTAATGAATCCAGAAAAAGTAAATAAGATACTTCGTTATTTGCCTACTGCTTATGATGTTAAAATAACTGCTATTACAGAGTCTAAAGATTTAAATACGTATTCTATTAACAATCTTCTTGGAGTACTAATTATTTACGACTAAGGAGTGACTCAAAAATAGATTGATGCAAGAGAAAAGTGAAAGGAGAAGAATATAGCATTGAAAGTGGATGACTTTGAGATTAATCAGTCATAGCCTAAGGATGAGGATGGTATTGCCTTGATGACAAGGCAATTTAGGAGTTTTCTAAAAAGGAAGCAATGGAGACACCAGCAATGAAACAAAGGTAAATTTCATAAAAATATTAAGGTTTTTAACAACGTTGTTTTCTATGAATGTAGGAAACCTGGGCATATCAAGTCAGACTGCCCTAATTTTAAAGCCACTCATAGCTAGTAAGGAGAAGGTGGAGGAGAAAACAAATGTGAAGAAGGGAAAGAAGAGATTTCAGCAAACTTTTTGGGCGAACTCAACTTCAGATTTATCAGAAATAGAAAAGGAAGATGAAGTCATCACCAATCTGTACTTAATGGTTGATAATCTTGATCAATCAGATTAAGAGGAGGTATGCGACTTAAGTTATGATGAACTAGTTAAAGTTTCTAAAAGAATACATACGACATATAAAAAACTTAAAAATATGCATGCTAGATTGAACTTAGATTCCCTTGAATTATAGAAAAAACATGAAATCCTTAAGGAAGATCACACACAAATTGATAGCAACCACATGAAACTTTTGGATGAGTTTGATGATTTAAACAAACAACATGAACAACTTAAAACATCCCACATTAAACTTGAAAAGATTTTAAAATATTTATGGATTAATCTAATTGTAGAGAACATGAATTAAAATTTAATGATGCTAATTTAAAACAAGCAAACTCATATCTCATAGAAAAAAGAAAAGCTTTTGAGGACAATAGGATTCCACAAACACTTGAAATTTTTTCTAATCCTGAACTAAAGTATAAAATTTTAAAACCTAGGAAAAGACAATTTAAATCACAAAAACTCAAAAACCATTTTAGTGGAGTGAAATGTTTTTTTTAGGCATGATTGGTTATATATCTCACACTTTCACTATTTATAGAAAATTTTATCTAGTGTGGAGACCTAAGATGCATAAAACAAGTCATATCATATATGTATCTAGATTAATTTTGCCAAGAGGTGAACCTAAACTTATTTGGATTTCCAAGTCTAACATTTGATTATTTTGTAGAGACACTCTCATATAAGACCTCGTAAGAGCATTTGGTACCTAGACAGCATATGTTTGAAGCATATGATTGGAGACACTAAACAATTCATATCGCTAGAAGACAGGAATGGAGACAAGATTACACTAGGAGATAATACCACTATGAAAGTGGTAGGTACAAGTATGATCGATAACTTGAACAATTTTTTTATTAAA